GAGAAGCCACCGAGTGCTGTGTTGAAGCTAAATTAGTAAATCAGCATGTCTTACTGTTGCTCTCGGGAAACATTTTTGGGAAAATGTGACAGTTCTAGTAGTGCAAAATCAGGCAATGCAGCAGAATATGTGAATATATGTGTGCATGCTCTCCCGGTTATTATTTTTTAGAGAAGAGGAACCTTTTTTATTCTGCTTCCACATGGTTGTCTACACCTCATCAGAAACAGTGTAATTGGCTTCATGAGCTCAGTCTGAACGGTTACATTTCACTGACAGCGTCAATGGAGAAGCTTGATATTAAAAACCCTCTGAACTGACCCAGGATTTCGAGATATTTAAATGAAGTAAACTCCCTTCTCCTACCTGTAACGCACACACACAATGCAGTCTGGCCTTAATGCGCCTGTCCAGCCTTTGCAATTAATTTTCATTTGCATCTATTGGATCAGGAGAAATTAATTAGATCTCTCTGGACACAAAGATGGTATCCCTACCACATCCATCTTTCTGTGTGAGAGCAAGAGAGCATGTTCGCTGCCCACTCAGAAGGAAGCCAAACATGATTCACTGAAAAGATTCTTTGAGGCCGATGCAAGTCTAGATGAAAAAAAAAAATGTGAAAGTTCTTATAATTCAATATGCCGGTGCTTTCTTAAGGGGGCCATATCATGTAACAGTTTTGTGCTTTTATAACATTAGTCAAGGTTTTCTTTTTCAATACATTTAGTTTAGCATTTGCAAATCAGTTATAATTGGTTAACGTGCATGTGAAATAAGTAACTTGAGGGTTACAGTTTCTCAGTCTAGTCTAATATAGTTGGCACTGCCCTATCTTTCAATCACAGTCTTTTTGTAAAGCCTGCATTACATTGTGACAGGTTCAGGAAACAATCCATCCAGACAGGGTTGGTGATAGATGCAATAAACTGGTAAAAATTCCCTACAGCTAGTATAAATTTTGAATGGTCTCTATTGCAATCACACTTCAATATGCTTGACAACTGTCTGTGCATTTGTAAGACTAGTAGTATAAGACTAGTATTAGTTTTTGTAACAACCTTATTTTCTAAAAATAACTATATTGTGATTTATATCATTAAAGTGAAATAAAATTACTCACATCAAACTTTTGTCATATCGCCAACACTACATGCAGAAATGTGCTGCTTAAAATATTAAAAGGACAGTTCACCCTAGACACGATTAACTGGCAGAAATTTACCGGTACAGATTTTCATCTATCGTCTCTATCGCGTTTACATGCTCACATGATGTTGCTGTGCTACGAGGTCACGAAAACTTATCGGTTGCACACATTTAAAGCATTGCCGTTTAAAAACAAGTGATTTTAAGCCGTTGAAATGCAATCAGCAGCGAAAGAGAACTAATTTCGCTATACTCGCACTTTGTCTGGGAGACCGTTTCTGAGTGCTGTCAGAGACGTGCACACATGAAGACAGTGCTCATAGAGCACATTATAAGCCTTGAATGGTTAAATACACACGCTTGTATGCGTCAAGATCTCTGCAAGTATCCTCGTAAACACAGTAATTTAGGTCTTAAGTGAAAGCAAACAGCTGAGAAAGAAAATACATGTGTAACAATATATTGGATCAAGGCAGCTCTTAAAGTGACAGCAGTCTAATATTCCTGCTGTCTGTCATTCATGTTAATAAACAACAAAAGAGAGAAAATCTCTTAGTGCTCTTGACTAAATCACTTTTGTAACTTTAATAAGAAGAAATATATATTTAATTTACACAGTGAAGAATATGCAGTGTTTTTATACATTTGACTACTGTATACAATGTATGTACAGTAGCATTTCTTATTTATTTGTTCTACTGTAGGTTTTTTTTTGTCCTATTGCTTAATCGCTGACTGGTTACTTGTCTTCAGTGAGCTTGAGTTTTTAATTTAGGCTAGTATTAGTTTTTTTGTGATACTGACAGTGGTAACAAGAATTATTAAATATCTATGGTATCAAAAATTTTGATATCATAAAGACCTTATTTAAAGGGGTCATATGATGTTGCTAAAAAGAACATTATTTGCAAGTATCCTCGTAAACACAGTAATTTAGGTCTTAAGTAAAAGCAAACAGCTGAGAAAGAAAACACGTTTATGTGTCCAGGCAGCTCTTAAAGTGGCAGCAGTCTAATATTTCTGCTGTCAAAAGAGAGAAAATCTCTCATTGCTCTTGACTAAATCACACTAGTAACTTTAATAAGAAGAAATATATATTTAATTTACACAGTGAAGAATATGCAGTGTTTTTATACATTTGACTACTGTATACAATGTATGTACAGTAGCATTTCTTATTTATTTGTTCTACTGTAGGTTTTTTTTTGTCCTATTGCTTAATCGCTGACTGGTTACTTGTCTTCAGTGAGCTTGAGTTTTTAATTTAGGCTAGTATTAGTTTTTTTGTGATACTGACAGTGGTAACAAGAATTATTAAATATCTATGGTATCAAAAATTTTGATATCATAAAGACCTTATTTAAAGGGGTCATATGATGTTGCTAAAAAGAACATTATTTTGTGTATTTGGTGTAATGAAATGAGTTTATGCAGTTTAAGGTTAAAAAAACACATTATTTTCCACATACTGTACATTATTGTTTCTCCTCTATGCCCCGCCTTTCTGAAACGCGTCGATTTTTACAAAGCTCATCGGTCTGAAAAGCAAGGTGTGCTCTGATTGGC